GGCTGGGTCTTCCCATACTGATTAACAGTTAATGATAGTTGCATGCAGTTATGCCCAGAGGCCAATCTGATCCAGGCAATCTCCCCCTACCCCCAAATGAAACTCCCTCAGATAACGGCTGGGCTGTGTCAAGTTGACAGCTAACCATTAACCAGGAGAGGCCACTTGGCTTTGCTCATGGTTGCACCCTCAGTGTGGATATCAGGAGCATTTCTCGAGTGGATGATAGGTAGGCTCTAACACCAAGTCATTTGTTCTGTCCAGAGCTATACCTTAAGTCCCTCAAGACCCAGATTTATGAGGTTTTTGCTTTTAATTTTTTTCCATTTTCATGTGCATTCATATATGTATATTTTTACATGCATGTGGGCATCCACACGTGTGGAGGCCTACAGCTAATGTCCAGAATCATCCTAGCGAATATGATTAGTCTCACTAACCATCTTGCAGGGCTGACAGGCGTGCTCCACCATGCCTGGCTTATGGGGTGCTGTGGCTCATACATGCCAGGCAAGCACAGAAAGTTGTGCCACCTCAAACTCAGTTGGGATAGCAACCAAATTACCCCCAAAACACACAGGTTCAAAAACCAGCCTTAACCTGAAAAAGGCCATTGGGAAGTGATGTCGTCTGTAGGAAGAGGAAGCCAGTGGGCGGCCCTTGGGTTTTTGGGGCAAGGAGGCGTTCCATGTCTTTCTCATTTGCTTTCTAGAAATAAAAAAAGCCATCCACCCTGCCATGGATTTCCCACCATGAGTATTTGGCACCCCACCAGAGACCCAAAGCAAGGCTGTACACCCAGTCTTGGGCTGGAGTCTCTAAAACTCAAAGAAACCTTCACTCAGTGTTGGATCCTGGGAATTTAGATCAGTACTGAGGGTTTGGGCAGTTGCTGGAGATTTGAAGGAAATGAACTGATCGGTAGTTTGGGAAACAGCGTGGCTGTAATTAACCCAGGCTATCTATGAAGGAAGTTCAGACCCTGCCTCTCTGCCCTTCTGTGACTTCTTGAAAAGGCTTGTAGCACCCCCTGGTGTCCATTACTGGATTTGCTGGAATTTCATAGAGGAATGGGGGGTGAGATCTTTGGTAAGTAGATTCCAGCTCAGAGGATAGGTTTGGGGTAGACTGGAATCTAGTTCTGGACACAGAAGGCGTGAGGGGTCAAAGAGAAAGCCAAACATAGATAGGCTCACCATGGTCTCAGGGTATAGTCTGGGCTGGACACAGTATTGGGAGTCATTTCTATGGAAAGTATGTGTTTTATATCAACTTGATACAAGCTAGAATCATCTGCGAACAGAAAGCCTCATTGAAACAAAATGCCTCCATAAGATTCGGCTGCAGACATGTTATAGGGTTGTTTTTTTTTTTTGTTTTTTTTTGTTTTTTGAGACAGGGTTTCTCTGTGTAGCCCTGGCTGTCCTGGAACTCACTCTGTAGACCAGGCTGGCCTCGAACTCAGAAATCCGCCTGCCTCAGCCTCCCAAGTGCTGGGATTAAAGGCATGTGCCACCACTGCCTGGCAGGATATTTTCTTAATTAGTGATTGATAATGGAGGGCTCAGCCCATTGTGGGTGGCGCCATCCCTGGACTGGTGGTCCTGTGTTTTATAAGAAAGCAGGCTGAGCAAGCTACGAGGAGCAAGCCAGTAAGCAGCACCCCTCCATGGTCTCTGCATCAGCTCCTGCCTCCAGGCTCCTGCCCCGTGTGAGCTTCTGCCAGCACTGCTTTTGATGATGAACTGTGATGTGGGACTATGAGCAAAACAAACCCTTTCCTCCCCAGATTGCTCTTGGCCACCGCATTTCATCACAGCAACAAGCAAACCCTGACTAAGGCAGAGAGTAAACCACACTGTCCGGTGGGCTTTCTGCGGAGGGCATCTCCCAGAACAGATAATGCAGAATAAAGAAACTTGGGGTTCCATAAAAAGAGCAAGACAGAAGTCAGAGTATCTCTGACCCTTGTGGGCATCTGGGGTACACACAGGGAAACAGAAGATCTGCCATGGCCAGGCTGTCTCACAGAGGCATGACTAGAGCTGCCCCTCCCCATCTGGGTTGCATCTTTTGTATTTCCTGGAACTGGGGTCCTATACTCTACTGTTATGCATAGGTGTCTGTATTCCTGTGTGTTTGTGGAGGTCAGAAGATGCCCGGAGTCCTGATCTATCAATTTCTGCCTTATTCTTTTGAGACAGTGTCTCTCACCTAACCTGAAATTGGACTGGCTACTGCCAGCCATCCTCCTGTTTCCACCCCAAAGTACTTGGGTTACAGGTATGTGTGCAGCTATGCCTGGCCTCCTGTGAGGGTGAGACCCTAAACGGTTCTGTGCTAGAAGGGACTGGAAATTGTAGAAGCTGATTGCCATGTTGTCTACCTCACCTGTGTGAGTATGGGTGAACATGCATGCGTAAGCGTTCTGCTAAGTCTTCAAGCAGGTACAGCAGATGTGGGAGGGTTCATTGGGGGATCTGTGCACCTCTTCACTCCTGGCCGTGGCCAAGGCCTGGCAAAGAAAAATGCCAGATGTGACACATGACCAAGTGGACACTGCCACCTGCTAGAAACTGTAGGCAGACAGTGTTTGAGGTCTGGCATTTGCTGCCCTTATCTTTTGAGAATCCCACTGTCCTTTCTGTCCAGCAGTAGAAAACAGGGTCTTCCCCCATACCCTATGGTCCCCAGGTACCTCTCTAAGTAACTCAGAGAACTGCTGTTTTTCAAAAGTATAAAAAATAGTGTTGCAAAGGAAAATAATTCTGTTAAAATTCTAATGTTTGTACACATGTGTGCGCATGTTCATCTATGTGAGTACTTGTGCACATGCGGGTGAAAACTAAAGGCAGGTGTCATTCTTCGCCCACTCTCAGCTTTGTGGGGGGGGTTTTGGTGGTGGTGGTTTATTGTTTTTCGAGACAGGGTTTTTCTGGGCAGCCCTGGCTGTCCTGAAACTCTCTCTGTAGACCAGGCTGGCCTGGAATTCAGAGATCTGTCTGCCTCTGCCTCCTGAGTACTAGGATTAAAGGCGTGTGTCATCTCCGCTCAGCCTACCTTGTGTTTCTTGAGACACCATTTCTCACTGGCCTAGAGATTGCTGATCAGCTAGTGTAGCTGGCTAAGGAGTCCCAAGGATCCTACTTCTGTCTCCACAGAACTGGGGTTACAAACACCAGCTGCAAAGGAAGGTGTGCCCTTCCCCGGCCTTGTTTATTACTACAACAGACCAAATAATAGGATCTAGGTGGAACTACCCACCTTGGCTGCATGACAATAGACACCTAGGTGGAGTCACCCATCTTGGCCGCACCTACAGCTTGCTACAGGAACTTCAAAGAAGAACTGCCCCTGAGCTTGCCTTGACATCTCCCACCGTGACCTGTGACCAAGAATAGATTATCCCACCCATCTCTCCTGGCTGAAACTAAGAAGGGTTCCGGCGGGGTCTTTCCCTTTAAATTGAAAGCTGAACATTAAAGCAATGAGCCTTGATCAGAGACCTTTGTCTTGGCTTCATCTCTTCTCGCCCTCTGTCCACCTTTTGTTCCCTCTTTTCAGGTGGACCTGTTCAACTCGTGGCCGCGGGCGGCTACAGAAGGAAGACCCTCTCTGAATGTGGGCCACTTCCATGGAGCCATGGACCAAATTTAAAAAAGAAAAAGTGACCAGCTATTGACCTGCCACCTCATATTCCTGTTGCCACGTCTTCCCTTCTCTGAAGGACGGTCTGCCTTAGAACACCACACCTGGGTCACCCCACCTCCGGTGGGTTTCACTCTGTCCCTTTGCTGCCTTTAAGCACCTACAAAGCTTCACTGACACATGGGGGGAAAAGATACACGCTGCCACACAGAGTGTGCTTGATGAAGCTTTTATTCAGGAACAAGGGCGGTATGTCATGGGAATGAATGGTACAAGAGACAATACTATTTCAGCAGGATGTCCAAGGGCCAACAGTTACAGTGACAAGAGATCTACCTTCACAGACTTGATCATCCTTATCCAGCAGGTGCAGGCTGCCCAGGCATGCTGAGTACCAGGGTAAGCCTGGAAGCTTACATCCACACCTAAGTACCGTCTTTCTTTCCTTCCTTCCTTCCTTCCTTCCTTCCTTCCTTCCTTCCTTCCTTCCTTCCTTCCTTCCTTC